ACTGTGTACTACGGCTATTTATAAAAGACTATGTACTTACCGGATCAGGACATGCAAGTGGTATTGCAGGATTGGTGAGATCTCCTTTGGTGGTCTTCTTATTAGCAGGTTCAAGAATGTTCTTCCACAACCAAGTCGAAACGATACCATGACCCCACTGAGAAAAGTGGAAGCAATCCGGAGCGAAGAAATTCATATTGATTTTCCCATCCTGAAATTTGATTACTCAAGAGATTACGTAGAGAAAAAACCGGAGTTAATCATGGAATAACAGTGATACGCAATTAACATTCAGTGATGAACCCACCTTCATTGGTGGTGTGACAATATCGCGGAAAAACGGTTGAACGACAAGTGTGAAATCTTCCTTATCAAATTTTCCGGAATTACCAAGTGCAATTTCCAAGTTGGCGTATTCGACGCAGGCCTAAAAACAGAATTCTCCTTTTCGCAACACCTCCAATTGATTACTTTTCGTGATTTATAAGTAGCTCAGTTACTGTGAGTCCTTCGAAAGGAAAAGCAACTGAGTAAGTAATTTCATGAAGGAACCAGTGCTGAGGCCGTCGCTGCACCAGTGAAGGATCGACGGGTCATGCCGTTTATACTCTTCCTACCAGCCTAATCGACCCAAATTGTACCTTATAACACTATTTGGTTATTTGATGATTGCGTAACCTTTTTCATCAGCGCTGACAACTTGGGCTCTAACAAGGGGGGGTCTTACAAGTCAACAGCGCTTTTTCAGCGATTTGGGGCATGTTGTAAGGGTGCACAAACGGGCGCGTGGGCCTTTACTTTTGGTGGCCCACGCACCCGTTTGTGCACCTTTGGCCCAAGTGGTTCCCAGAAGCTTCATTCCTACGCGCCTGTGGGCATGCCAAGAAAGTCTGCAAAAAAGCTCGCGAGTTCATAATGAACTCGATCATAAGGAATGCTTTGTTTTTCTAAAGTGAGGCTTACTGATACACTACAAACGCTAGGAAACGCTTTTATAACTACAAAATATGAGGAAAAGGAAAACAATTCCAAAGGGATTTGGAAAAAGGAAGAAGGAAAAGCTCGAAAATTCTGTTCCTACGGGGATTCGAATCTCAAGCTACTGTTCAAGCTATTTTGATATTTGTAAAAGTGCCCATCTATGTACCCCTGAAACATGCAATGAACCGCTTCGAACAAGCCCTCCATGGCCTGAAAGCCCTTATTGTAAGTGCTGAGCAGCTTGAAGGCACAACAGGTGTGCTCACAACACTTGAAATCCGAATTTCGTGGAGTTGTTCTCGTAATCCGGTGCCCTTTTCTAGCGTGACCAAATGCTACTACTTGTATGGCCACCCTTGCAGGGATCCTACTCTTCATGCCCTAAAAGGCCCCCTTTG